CACTGCCGGGCTCCTTCATTCCAGTCTTATTTCACAGGTGGAGCTCTGAAAGTAAAAAGGGATTAACTTCCATATAGTTCACCCTTGGTTCTATAGAAATAAGGAAAATAAAGTTCAGCAGTGCATTGGAGAAGAGAATGTGACCTGTTATCTGTTCCAAGAGAGACCCGTTTTCTGCTTTCATCTGCTAACTTTGGAGGATCAGTCCCACTTTTAGCAGCATCCCACCCTCTTTTTGTCAGGCTACTGAGGAATTCATAGTCATTCTCATTACTCTGCCAATGCCTTGCACTTGTGACACAGCAACTAATAAAAAACTAATGTGATAGTGTTTGCTTTTTTTGCTGCTGACATTTTTGTGCTCTTGGCTTATCAGACTTATTTGCTTTATGCTTATTGACTCAATCAGGTGCTTCTCTTTCCTTCTCAAGACTCCAAATAGCAGCTTCATTCTAATCTCCCAACAGCCGTCATCATTTCTAGTGCACAAGAGCCTTCCTTGGCTCCAGAGGCAGATGGGGAAAAAATGAATTTGCTATAGGAGTACGTGGTGTGCCTTCGTGAAGAGCACGGATGGGGAGAAATTGGAAGCTATATAATCCACACTCTGCAAAACAATATGCAAACCAAAACACCTCTCCAAATTTTGCAATGCTATTCTGTAAGCTGAGTAACATGTACAAAATGCCTCTACTACTAGAGGAAATTGAAAACTGCATTATATTAGGGGAAACTGCTTGCAAAAATGTATATATTAGGAGAAATTTACACTTAAATGCTAATTTATTTTCATGAGAACTTAAAAAAAAAAATCACAAACTGATGTGGAGACTGAAGATTGGGAAAAATAATAACTGAAATTGGCATTTTGGCCTGTTCCTAGTGAGCAGGGGTTGTGCTAAAATTGCCATTTTCATAGTTTTCCAACTTGTTGCAGAATTTTTGAAAAAGTAAGTCCATTTTCTTCAAAGCAGGGAAGGGGGCTTGATTGAGGAAGTTTCTTCTGAGTTTGATTCTGGAGGGAAGATGGGACACATACCCCTAAAGTTGTGAGTGCACCTCCATAGCGGGCTCACTGCTCAGTTGGAAAGTCTGTCTGAACTCTTAGTTTCTGTTTAGAAACTATGTTTCTAGCTCTTAGGTCAGTAAATGCAATCAAGGTGACAAAAAAAGCACGTTGTAATCTGGCCTCAGTTCAGGAATGGGTGCAACAAGCGAAATCTTAATGCAGATAAGATAGGGAAGTACTAGTTAGGAATTACAATGGTGTGGGAGTCCATTATACCACCTGTTCTAGCATAGACTGCACTCCACACACAGCCATCACATGAAGCAGCAGGCATACAGTTTGGCAGAATTCCTTGACCTGATGCTTTCCTTAGATATTCAGATGATGGTGGGTGGCAACAAGTGCCTTTTCACCAGCTTCTGCAGCCAGCATGGAGGAGCGATGTAGTAGAGCTGCCCTCCTGACAGCAGCTTCACAGCTGCTTACCTGGACAAAGTAGAAAAGGACAGCAGTGAGACCAGAGCTGTGGGGGACACAGCAGCTGAGCCAATCCTTCTCACTTTGCCATGCAGAGTCCCAAATTCTCATCTTTGCTGATGTACGCTGACAGGAAATGGCTTCACGTGGGGGGAAGAGGAAGTTGTTGACTGAGGTTGCCTTATCCTTCTCCTCCTTCAGCCATGCTGAATAAAAATGAGAAGGAGGAAGTGAGCTTATAAGAGAAGGTGGCGGCTGGAGGAGACCCTGAGCAGGAGCAGGCCCCAGGGTGTGTAGGGTGGGGTGGGGAGTGTGTAGCTGGCAGAGTGCAGGCAGGCCTGAGGGAGGCTAGAGTTTGAGGGGGGCAAGGAGGTTAAGGGGGTCAAGGATTGGCACTGGAGCTAGCTGGATTTGGGGGGGGGATCTGTATCATGAAAGACTTTAATAAAAATCTTAATGTGCAAAAAAAAAAAGAGCCCACCCCAGCAATGATAGTGATGTAGAACAGAATGTCCTTATTTTCATCTGAGGAATGTTGGAGGGTACGTGGGTGTACTTATACAGCTCTAATAGCACCACTGACTTGTTAGGGACTGTGCAGAAAAGGAATGGTGGAGACTGCCTCCCCAGCCTGACCCTTCCAGAGAAGAAGACAGTTCAGAATTATCATAGGAGAGGAGGAAGAAGAAGCACCAGAGGGGCAACAGAGGATGGACACAGTGTCTTTAGAAAGCATTCCAGACCCCCCACTCTCAGAACCCGGCAAGCATTGAAAGTAGGAGAGCAAAGAGCTCAAAGGCAGAGGGCACTTCTCAGCACCTGTAGTGATGATGCACGAAGGGAGAGAGGGAGGGGGTGGAGACCCACTCAAAGCAACGCCCTTATTCCAAGAGGCGACATTTCCAAGCCTCTCTCTGTGAATATTGAATAAAAAGCTGTTGGTAAGAACTTTTCCTTGTCTTATCCATTCCTGGCTACCTGCCATCGGGGTTGGAGCCACTGCCGCCTGACATGATATTCAAAGGCATTTGTTGACTCATGTTGGATTCTACTTAAACAGTACACACATTACGTAGCAGTACAAAACAAAGGAAAGATAGAATTGTGCCATGCCCTTCAAATTATTCTGAACATATCAGCGTTTAATTTCTTTTGAGATGGTCTTGGGCTGTGTGGTGTGAGCAGTTTTGCATACAAACCTGTGAGGAAATCCCATTAAACCACATCTGCTGTCTTGCTTTTACTGTCTTTTTGATTCTATGCCAGGGATAGGGAACCTGTGGCCCAGTTCATCTTGGTCCTACATACTGATTCTTCAGTGGAAAAGGAAAAAAGCAGGTGCTCCTTTACTCACAACTATTCTTGTGGGAAATGAGTATGCATTTCAGAGTCAGTTTCATTGCATCTGCATCTGCGTACAGGAGAAGGATGCCAGCTTTGTCTGCTATTTTTTCATTGGCCATGGATATTGCTTTTCCTGAAGACTGCAGTTTTCACAGATGTCAAAATCAAGGTTGACAGTCAGAATGGTTTCAAAGTGGTAGGATTGTTTCAAATGCTTCTCAATTGTATAATTCGGGTAAATAGTTCCACGATGTTTTGCTGTGGGCTGCAGTTTAGTAACAGTTGTAAACTTGAAACATGCTCTACACCTGAAGGAGTGTCACTTTTTGATGAAAATGTTCACATCATCATCTTTTGGACCGTGCTTGATGAACTTGGAAGCTGTTTTCGTAACACCCTTACACCCTCAGGCTCCATCCAACACTGTTGACTTAGACATAGGGCCTTCAGCATCCCTGGCAGTGTGAGCTTCCCAATTTCTGCTGGTTGCTGATGGGAGCAGGAACATATGGCAGTGTTGGGGTGCAACAACAAGCTTTGCACAGGCACATTCCTGAAGTTCATCAAGCAGGTGAGAACATAGCTGCAAATACTGTATTGGCAAGTGGTGCATGAGGTACATTGGCCAGCATAGCCGCTATAGGTGGTGGTAAACTGTTGGAGTAACCAGCATGAGCAGGGAATTTAGCTTTGCACCAGTAGTTTGGGATTGATTCCCCAACCCCTTCATTCTGGTGCAAAGCAGTACAACAATAGACTTGGCAAAATGAACTTTTTAAAAAAAAAAATAATAATTTTTATTAACCGGCCAATCAAATCAAATTAAATCACATCACATAAGTTCCGAATTACAAAGCCAAATTTTAAATTTTGTTGGCAAAATGAACTTTTAGGTTGGAAGGATATGCAAAAGATTAGCAATTGAGGTGACCGAACATTTTCCCCCTTTTGTCCCCATCTAAACATCCCTACAGACACACATCTTGTACTTATCCTGAAAAGCAATAAACTCTTTTTGAAGCATGTGGTAGAAACAGCTATAGTTTGTGTGTAGACTATGTAGAAAAACAAGCACTCAATTTCCATTGATTCATGAATAAAATGCTGTGAGCAAACAGGCATGAGTCAGTTTACACATACTTATTGAGTGGCACTGCTATCTCTGGTTCCTTGGACACATTTCCTAAATCTATAATGTCCCCAAAAGGAAGCAAAACATAGAGAGACATTGTAGAGATATAGAGTGTCTATCTCCATCATTTCCCCTCCCAGACCAACAAATGCATGGACCTTGTTCTCTTGATCTCCTCCCTCTTCGTCTTTCATTCTGGTCAGATGAAAGTCAGCAACTGATGAGGAAGATAATCACAGCTACTGCCTCTCTTCACACATTCCTTTTTGCATATGGCAAATGCTTTTATGACGAATAAATTCTCTAGCACGTCTAAATTTTGCAAGATGCTTTATGGCGATTATCTCGTGTATCCTCGCAGCAGCACCATGGTGTGATTGTTGATATTCTCACCTTATAAATAGGAGAATGAGAGAGAGAGAGACTTGCCCAAGGCTATGCAGAGAGTTTCTTGTTGTTTTTCTGGATTCGGATCTCTGCCAGCTCCATATACTGTCCCGTAGACTGCTCTGCTAGCGCCAGTGTCCCATGTCACTCAGTTAACAGTAGCATAACTGCGCAGTGCTAGCAGAACCACTATGACCTCTGTTTTCCCTCAGGTAAAGACACGCACCCCCATCTTCCTTGATTGCTGCTTAGCAGTGACAGCAGGAAAATGCTGCCTCTTACTTCCCACACCAGAAAGGGAAAACACACGCTAGGTTCGCAGCCTAGTAATGCAGAACTGCTCAGAGCTTTCAAAGGGATTTCCATTTGTGTACTGCCTGCTCCCAGTTCAGTCCTCCTTTAGAAATGAGCACAGCAATTAATAAATCACTTCACACCTCCTTCCTTTTCTTCCTTTTGACACTCCACACAGTTCTCCAGCAACAGCCTCCCGGAGGCCAGCAGAAGCAAGCATCCCACCACCTGCATGTAAATTAATTACCTTTAGCTTCTGCTCTCTCCCCTGTCTTGCCAGGAATAGTGGCCAGCTATACTTAGAGCAAGAGATGTGGGTGGCACTGTGGGTTAAACCACAGAGCCTAGGGCTTGCCGATCAGAAGGTCGGCAGTTTGAATCCCCGCGATGGAGTGAGCTCCCGTTGCTCGGTCCCTGCTCCTGCCAACCTAGCAGTTTGTTTGGAGGTTCTAGCAGGGGAGCGCAGCTATCGTATACCCTTGACGGAAGAACGGTACACTCCTGCTATCTGGGATGGTCGTCCTCTTCCACCGAGCGCGCAGCTTCGGGAGGGACGCAGATGGAGCGGTGAGGGAGGAAGGGGACACCCACCTAGCCAGCCAGATCAGCTGAATCAACCCTGGCGATCAATGGGGTGACAGATGTTGCAGCCAGATCGCCCTCACATCCCCAACCTAGCAGTTTGAAAGCACGTCAAAGTGCAAGTAGATAAATAGGTACCACTCTGGTGGGAAGGTAAACGGCGTTTCTGTGCGCTGCTCTGGTTCGCCAGAAGCGGCTTAGTCATGCTGGCCACATGACCCAGAAGCTGTCTGCGGACAAATGCCGGTTTCCTCAGCCAATAAAGCGAGATGAGCGCCGCAACCCCAGAGTCAGCCACGACTGGACCTAATGGTCAGGTTCCCTTTACCTTTACTTATACTTAGAGCAAGATTCATCTTTCTGCTTTACAGACATGCACACACACATGCCACCAATTTGTCAACCCATCACTTATCCCTTTTTTGCCCCAGAATTGCTTCTTACTCAGCCTTTTCTATCAGTTCTCCATTGTTCTCTCACAAGCCCTCTTCAGCACTGAGCCAAAGGCCTATCTAGTCCTGCCTCCTGTTCTCATAGTGGCCAACCAGATGCCTAATGGGGCATCTGAACATGACAGCAACAGCACTCTACCCAGCTGTGATTCCCAGCAACTCATATTCAGAAGCATTTGGCCTTCAGCAGTGGAAGAGGGCATAGACCTCATATAGTCATTGATAGCTTTATCCTTCATGAATTTGTCTGATTCTCTTTGAATGCCATCCATGTTGCTCGCCACCCCTACACCTTGTTGGAGTAAATTCCGTAACGTACCTACGCAGGGTCTGACATCTGTGTTAAAGCCTCACATGGTGGTGGGAGGAGAGTGAGGATGAGCCCATTGACTGTGCCCCTTCCATCGAATCTACATTTCCAGCTTCAGTGCTTTTCACAAGTTGGAAAGGGAACTTCTGCAGCCTACTTGTGTAGGCTCCCCATGAGAATTAGAAGCCTGGAATAAGTTCATTTCTGCAACACATAGAAGGTGATTCACAAGTTCTGTTCCCAATACACAGAAGGCTATGAAGCCAATGACAGGGAGGGGATGGAGTCAATGGGCTTATTTGTGCTCCTCTACATGCAAGCAACGGTAATTGGGGTGTTGAGTAGAATGACTGACCAAGGGCTACAGTTTTTACCTCCTTCCTTCTCTTCTCCCACATAAACGCACCCCTCTTACCAGTGGCGGAGGAAGGGGTGGGGGGTGGGTCACCCCGGGTGCCAGCCTGGGGGGTGACATTGCCGCAGGCGGGCGCCTCTCCCTTGGGATGCTCACATGTGCGGCATGCCATGCCCCCGCCGCCCCGGGTACTGAAGCCCCTTCCTCTGCAACTGCCTCTTACAACTACTCAAGTTGACTGCACTGCCCAGGTTCTCCATCTCATGCCCCATTCCTTCTGTCTTTGCTCCCCTCGTGTTCTTTCCTTAGTACAGCAGTATGCAGTTTGGTTTATTGGTCAGTAATATTGTAAGACATATATCAGATGCATTTGCTCACCCGCCCCCCTCCAGCAATCCATAGTAGGGTTCCCTATGCTCCAGGGACATGTTATTTACTGCACAGAGGATATATAAATGACAATAACTGAAAACAGAGAGAGAATCTTAGGTTTTTCTATTGAAATTATGGGCATAACACTATTAAGAACATGATTCAGAGTTTATGAACACATTATTTATATTGATTTATCCCCAGAGCCGTCAAGACTCCTTGAACATAATTAGGCTTGACACATCCAATGCTGGAATTAAATGTTGATATCATATAATGAAAATTACATGCTTTGGATTTTCTGTGCTGCGGCAAAGCACTAAAACAAATACCAACATCTGCACAGTATGCTCTGCTTGGCCTATTAATTGGGTACTGCAACCAATCAAACCATTTATGACAGAGACAGGAAGGGCCTGTCTGATCCCCAAGAAAGGGAATGACTGGAGGGAGAGTGGAAACACAAAGCATCATAAAAGGAAAGGTGATGCTCATAGCAAATGGACATGGACTTAATATTGTTTCATAAAAGGTCGCATTCCTATAACCCAAGATCTGTTCTGTCCCACCTGTTTCTAATTTCCTCTCCTACAATTTGTATATGCAGTCTTTATACAATCACCCTGTTCCAGCAAAAAAAAGATCCCCAATCCATGTGATGGTTGTGGACCCATGGCAGGGTTCACCTAACGAGTCTCATGAGGGTCAGAATAATGAGGGGATCAGGCAAGCTGCCAAGCTAGAACTGTTGGGATGTGCACCATAGCGCAACATTGAATTCCACCCTTTTATGTTAATTCAGACCTTCACAGAATCTCATGGATACATCTGTGGGATGGAACTACTAGGATGTGTAGCCCCACTGAGAGCCACTCAACATATTTAACATATGTCTTTGAAGGAGAGAAGGCTCCTTACAGTTTTCTTCTCCTGTTGGTGAACAGAACACTTCTTTCTGCTACAGAAAAGCTGCACCTATTCTGAACACATACATACTCTTTACAATTATTCTGTTTATCTTGGTAACATTTTGTGGCCATGAGTTGCATCCATTAATAGTATCTGGTATCAGTGCACAACCCTGTGTATTTTACTCCTCCTACCAGTTAACGGTGCCATTTTCTTATGAAAGCCGAGCAAGAAAGAGCTCTTTTGCAAGAAGGAGCTCATTTATAATAACATGTGGCCTATCAGTCCTTTCTCCCATACCATTTAAGGATGACACATTCAAATCTCTTTGATTTCTTGCATCTCCACCTCCCCCAGATTCTTTAATCTATGGACTCATCCTTCTTTGAAGAAAATACTGCTTGTCTCCTCATCTTCTTTGAATAGTGTCTTCAATAGTGTCACGATCTCTCCTTTATAGTTTAATTGTTTCATTACATTTCTTCATGATTACATGATATTTAACACAAGAAATGCACTACAGAGGGGAAAGGTACATTCTATAATAGCCCGGAGCCAAGAATATGAAGCACCAGATATCACAGCAGATTTCTCTCACGCACTTTCCCTATTGGAGCTATATTTACTTGACTGAATGTTGGATGTTTCTCCTTGGGGAGCATTAATCTCATAGATCTATGGAGTGGAGCCATATAATATTAACTGTCATGTAACATGGTGGATCTACTGCATAGGGATGCTAAGTTGCTCATTGATAAAGCTCCGGTCTGTTATTTGGGATACACAAGGAGATTGTCATCTCAGCAATATTAATGTCTTGCCTATCACCTTAAATCCCAGTAGCCATCTTACATTAGCATAACTCAACTCTCCTATCTGTGCAGCATTTCCTAATGGAGATTATGCCACAGCAAAGTCCTGTACCGCTCGGCACCAGCGCTGCAGGGTACATCTGTATGGCGGCAGTATGAAAACGAATTAACTTGTGGACTGTGTTATCTAGCCTTGGTGTGCAGAATTTCTTTCAGCTGGCCTAGTATCTCACCATCATAGCATTTTAGAAATGCATTTCTCCTCAAAGCTTCCTCCAACAAAGGCTCAGGGATGTTTAAGGTGCATCCACATCACAGATTTCGACATGAGATCAGTTTAGCACTGCAGTGCTAATGTGAAAGGAGCAAAACATGTCTAGTAAGAGTCCCTCACCCAAACAAAGCACTTTGGAAACCAGAAACTTCTGTATGCTGCATGACCAGTGCTCATATCTAGCTTTGATAGGCACAGGTTTGGATTTAAGGGGTGGTGGCTGCCTGGGGTGCCAGGCTTGAGGTGCCTGTTATAATCCCTAACAGCCTTCCCCAATCTGGTGCCCTCCTGATGGGTTCCATTACAAGTCCCACCAGCTCCAACCAACTTGGCCACAGTTGGGTGCAGTAATGCTTCCGAATACCAGTTGCTGGAAGCCACAGGAGGAGAGAGTGCTCTTGTGCCCATGGGCTTCTGGTTGGCAACTGTGAGAACAGAATGCTGGACTAAATTAGCCATTGGCCTGACCTAGCAAGCTCTTTTTATTTTCTTATAGAAGTTGTCGGGCACCACATCTAGAAGGCCCTAGGTTGGGGAAGCCTGGATTATAGTAGCTACTCAACCAGCTGAAATATATGGTACAAATAGTTAACCTTACCTAGGAAAATTGGCAACACTGGCAACAGCAGCCAAATGGAAGACTGAATTGGGACTTACATTGCAGGACTGGCTTGCCAGAGTCTGGGAGATAACTTTATTGGAGAGGTTAGATGGGAGGTGAGAGGTCAGGTTAAGAAAAATAAGTTTGAAAGTACTTGGTTTATGTTTCTATTAAAATAAAATAAAAAATCCTTCCAGTAGCACCTTAGAGACCAACTAAGTGCATGCACACAAAAGCTCATACCAATAACAAACTTAGTTGGTCTCTAAGGTGCTACTGGAGGAATTTTTTTATTTTGTTTCAACTACAGCAGACCAACACGGCTACCAACCTGTAACTAGAACTATGTTTCTATTAATAAATCTGCCTTCCTAATCAAACTACCTGTGACACATGTATTGTTATCGAGAGTTCTTATCCATGGAAAAGCTGTAACCCTGTATGTTTTTGCACTTCCCTTTTCTGACCATCTGTACTCCATGTTTTATATCGTTTTCTTTTTCTTCATTGTTTATTGAAAATCAGTAACATACATATGCCATAAAAAGAAAAAGGAAATAAACACCGACAACACCTTTATGGCCATCATTTTCTTTCTTTTGTAAAATTCACAGGAAAATTGGCAGTATGAGTGCTGACGCAACAAGAGTATTTGTGCAAGAGAGTATTTGTGATCCTATCCATGCTTACAAGCATGTACGGCTGGGATAAATCATCCATTTCAAATAATATTAATTAATAATATTAATAATATTAATTAATTAATTAATTTCATTAGATTTGTATACTGCCCTTCATCTATAGATCCCAGGGTGGTTGACAACTTAAAATTACAAGATTAAAAAAAAACCATAATATAAACAAAAACTTCCCTCCCCCCATCTCCTCCCACAACCTCATTTAAAAGGGTATAGGATGTTAATCAGCCAAAGGTGTATAATGAAGGCGCCAGCTGAACCTCCCCAAGGAGAGCATTCCACAAAAAGAAACAAAGCAGCAAAGTCAGAAAACATATTCTAAAGTCAACCTAATGGAGGGAGCACCGCAGGTACTTCTTGATGGGTGTTATTTGATCTAGGGCCAGCTATGGAAAGTGGGTGGGGAGATTCTCCAGTGCAGTGAGCAGCTTGTCTTGCATTCCCATATAAAGCTACCAGATTCACGAACATGCTTAGGTCTATAGCCCTTTGCAGGCATTACATCTGGGGGTGAAGTAAACGCACATCCCTGTCAACTGCCATGGAAAAAAATGGGACATCCTGTTTTTCCTCACAAGAGGACAGCGGCCAAAATGGCCATCACAATTTTGGGCTGCACTTTTTCAGGCATTGTGCCCGAAAACACACATTATGGGCCACTGTGCAAGATCACTACTCTGGTCTTTGCGTAGGTACAGGAGTGTGCAATTGGAAGATGGTGTCCTGGTTTTGGTTCGCTTCATATTTAAAGGATATGGACACATGAGGAGGGCAGTGGTGACGAGTGCAGTAGCGCCATTCTCCCTCTTCCCCTGCTACCTCATGGGGAGTGATTTTGCAGTGGGGAAACCTCTGTACTTGTAAAAGCTCTTCATGATTTTTAGAGCCCTGGAAAGCCAGAGTTGGGCCATGATTTGACTCAAGGGTTTCCCTTGTCTAAGAGCAACACTCATCAGCCATGCTGGAAGTTGTAGTCCAAAACATCTGGCTTTATTAGATGGCATCTGACTTTCTGAGAAACTGCCTGGGGGGGGGGGGAATCATCTTGTACTTAGAAATTTTATTGCCCTTATGTAGATTTTGGACTTCTTTTATGGGCCAACATGACTACTTTAGCTCTTTTTTTGTGACTTGGAGCATACAAAATGTTTATGAAGGCCTTCCTCCCTTGATCTTCATCACATATCTTACTCGGCTATGAGTGATCGCCAAAGAAGAAGAAGAAGAATCTTCATCACAATCTTTGCTAAGTCATTAGGAAAGACTGTGCACATAGAAGAGCTTGGGCAGGGGGAATCATGAAGATGTTGCTTACTGTAGCCTGCAGAGACTGTCATTATTGCCCTCATAAGGTTGAGGTCAAACACAGCTGACTTGGCAGTCTTAATGTTACACATAAGTACTGAATATATGCACAGCCCAGAAGGCCCATAGGGAGAGAGGCTGGAGACTAATAAACTGATATTAGGGAGTAATTCAATTATGTGCTTCCAATCTTGTAGGCAAAGATTGCTCAAGTTATTCTTCCACTTGGGATGGACTTTGTAAAATAATAATATAAAAGACAATGAAGCTTGGTTGAATCATTGTTAAAATGGGCCTTCTTTTAGCCTTTTTTGGATGGCTGAATGATTTATATCGTGTCTGAAGGACACGAAGCCAAACAACCACCTCCCTGTAGCATCCTGAGTCATATCTACCATGTGGGATGTGACAGGGTTAAACATCCTCTTGAAAAATATATCTTGGCTTGAATAGCGCTCTATAATTATTTGACTTCCACAATCCTATTAGCAATAAGCCAGCCTCTCAGCTAGAACCATCACTCACTTTGCACCCAGGTTTGCCTTGCGTCCCACGCAGTGACTTGCTGTTATCTCACAGTTTATTACTGTAAATTATTAATGTCAGAGATGCTGACACAACAGATGGAGGATGGGGAGGAAATTTATATCTATCAGACCAATGAATTCCCACATTTCTATCTCTGCTTTGCTGTGTCACCTCTTTTTGGCATTTTGCAGACAGCGATTTCATCCTTGGCCTGCTTTTCACTATCCCGCTTATGTCTGATATTGCCTGAGGCAAGTGTAGAAATTCTAAAACAAAGTAAAAAAAAAAAGTTCATTCGATAAGTGAGAATGGCTTGTTCAGCTGTGTGTACTAACCATGTTCAAAACCTGACTCAAGTGCCACCAGACTCTCATCACATGTTATATTGGGCTTTTCCAGCAGGGCTGGCTCCGGGATTTTCCCGACCCTCATTCAGCAGAGAAGCAGCGGAGCCCCTTTGGCACTGCATCTTTAACTTCTAACCCCACCCCTTCCCTCTGTGACCCATCCCCTTTGACCTTTCTCTCTCTACACTAAAAGAAATCTTATAAAATAGGAATTTGAAGTGATGTGATATATGGATTGGATAGAGACTTTGCCACAAAAGCACAATAAAAGACTTTGCGTTGTTGGTGGTGTTTTCCTAGCCCATTTGGTTATCTCAGAAGTTCCTGCGGGAAATTAGGAAGAGAGGTCACTGATGCTATCATTGAACTGTGCTAGATTCTTTCATATTTCTCCTTGTGTCCACCTAAAAACTTCACTATGCTCTCTCTCTCTCTCTCTCTCTCTCTCTCACCTCCAACCCAGTTGGATTTTACATGGAGTCAATGATGATGTTATTGCACAGGACACAAAGCTTTTCTTCCCTTCCAGTGCTTCCAGAGAGATCACTCATGGACCCACCATGATCAAACAGCTCCCTGCAACACACACTTATTTCTCAATGCGTCTCCTTAAACCTGTCTTAGAAACCAGCTTTGTTGGGTTTCAACTAAGCCACAGTTTTTAGGAGAATGCTAAGATTCCTTTTCACATATTCCTGAATGTGTACATATTCAGTGTGCTATGGAGCAGCATAGATCTTCCCATCTCTTGTCCCAGACATGGTTCACCCCCATCCACTCTGTTTGCTAAGCTGGGTTCAGCTCCACCTGCACCATCTCCTGGGGCCACCAACCCATTGACCCCATGCACAAATGCACCCACAGCAAAATTTCTAAATTAAAGTCCATGCATTATTGGACTTTGTAGCATCCTAGCATTGACCCGAATGCACCCATGTGCCATAAATCCAAGAATCATAAGCATGCTGGGACTAGGGAAGTACGGTTCAGATGAAAACAAACCTGGGCAGGGCCAGAAGGCCCTATTGCCCTACTTGCGTTGGGAATAAACACACAGGTATACATATGAAAGCAAATAAACAAACATGGATTGCTATACTCATTCTCCCTGACAGTGTGCAATGATCAACTTTTTCTTATTTATAAAGACACGTTTACAAAATGCAGGGCCACACATGCAGCCTGAACCTGTACAGTCTATCCACAGTCTGTGAGAATTAGACCTACATATCTGCTGCTGGCAAAGGATCTATGATGGATGCCCACAATACCCAGATCCTATTAGCTTGAAGGAAACGTACTTAGATCTCAGTCTGATTGTTCACATTATTCTGGGGCAGGCACCTGAAACATCAAAGCAGACCACCTCAGCTAATCCCTTTCAGTCATCCGGCAGGCTCCAGATGTGCAAATCCGTGTCACTGACTTCCAGGTTGCATGTCATACAAACGCATTTAGAATCTGGAGGAAGAGTGGATTCACAGTTCATGCTTGCAAGATAACAGCAGAGGAATGAAAGCTACCCTTCCAGCTCTATGCCTCTCTGAAAGGACCGTCAACACAATCATTTTGATGGAGTGCACAGATAAACTGTCTGTATTGTAAGGAGAGAGAAGCTGTACAGTGGCGAAGCTTTGCTGCAACATAAATAAATCAAGAGCCTACCTTTGATCTTCCTCATGTAAACTAAAAAAAGAAAGAAAGAAAGAAAAGATGGTAGCACAGCAGGGTCTGACCAAGTTCATCTCTGTACATATAGCAAGTGCTTACCAGAAAAGGAAAGTGCAGCACTTTTAGTTTTCTTTCTCTTTATGCAGACTGCCCTCTGTATAACTTCAAGAGGACTCTTGCTCACAAGGCTGCTATCAGGCCAAATGCATAAAATAGTTTCAGAGCACATTGCAAATTAAAAGCAATAAACATGATAAGTAATAATAGAATTGTGGGTGTGAGAAGCAACAGCTACAAATTGCAGCTACAAATTACGCTGGAAATCAGAATATTTTAAAGGGGGGGTTAAAGCTAGAAAAATCCTGGTATAGCCTCCCTAAAATAATTGTGGGAACAAATAACTTCACAGGGTTGAAAACAAAGTCAGAATGATGTATAGTGCTTATTGTGCAAGTACTATTCTGAATAGCGCGCTGCTGAGGTCACTAAGGGGATGCACCCCACAAATAAGGGTTGTTGCTTTCCAAGGCAGGGGCAGGGTGGAGAGATATGTTGTTTCTTTGAAGCATTGGGAACTGCCACAGCCAGGAATAAGAAGCTGGTTGTCATGGGCTGGGCCCAGAAATCTTTCTGCTCAAGGCAAAGGACAAAAGCGTGCTCTCCCCCCTTCCGCATACAGAAGCTGCCTCAATTGAGAATTGGATATTGCCTCAGCACTGGTGACAGGACAGCAC